ATATCTAAAATATTTGGACTTTGACATGGCTCTTTTGTTGTTGTGTTATTATTTGCATGTGCATTCTTTACATATTTGCTTTTATAAACTGTTTAACGCTAAGGAAGGGTTCTTTGTTAGCAACATCATCCTCTTCATAAATGTTTGTGCCATCTCACCCCAGCTCTGATGCACTTCAGTCTGAACTGACGCCCCAGTCAGGGGGAAATATGGCTGATACTACTGCTACAGATTGCGATGTTCAAAATCAGGTATGCAAGCAAAAACTATAATACTACTATTCAGGATCAGTGAAATGTTAGCGTCCAGTCACACTCTTAATGTCCCTTTCTTTCCTATAATTAAGAAATAAGTATATGTAAATTTACTGAAGGATTTCTGTAAAGAACTACTGCAGTTGGTACATAAAACAAGGAACACGTTTTTCCTCCACTTTCCTTAGTGTATCAGTTTTCCTGTTCTGAGCACAAATTCTATATTTTTCTCAGGGGGATATTTTTGGAATCTGATAGGAAATCACACATGCTTGCACAAACCGATAACAAATAATCAGTGTACAGGAGACATAAATATATAGCATTAGCTTTCAGACTCAAACTGTGTAAACTACATGAAGATTTTGAAGATGCCAAACCCACAGACTAGTGAGCTGCACCAATGGTTCCTAACTGTAACAACAAAACATTAATTTATTTGTCAGTTCTTAACCTCTACACCATAACCGCCACACTGGCATTTGCTAAAAACTGATTGAGGGAATTTAAGCTGTTATAAATGGTTTTTTGACCTAAAATCTGTCAAAAATAGGTGAGTCATATCACTATATATCGATCACATCAAGTAATTTAGAGCCAGAAAGAGCATTCCTATCAAAAAGCAGCTGCTGCAACCAGACTTTTATATATCCTTTATTTATCCAGGTAAAAAGTGTCATTGACATTAAAAATGTGTTTTTCAAGAGAGATCTAGCCGAGGGGGCAGCAGAAACTGTAACAAATATAACATCACAGTTCTAAAAACTTACTGGAAGTAAACAAGAAGGACTGGACTAATGACAATATTGGTACAAATATGCAGAGTCATGAAATACTTTAAAAACAAGTCATTTCCTTATATTACGTATAATCCCTTCATAACTCCTGTTCACTACAGTCTATTTACTAAAATAAGCGACGATATTAGACGTTAAAAAAAACACAGAAAGACATTGGAAATCACTTTTTGGCACAACACCAGTGTCCTGCATAACTACCGGTATGTGTGCTTGTGCCCTGATGTTTCATGTGTGGTGCCAGCTAATAACAAAAACAGTTCCTGAGGGTCCCCGCTCTCTGTTGTTCGTGTGTTTGTGTGTTTAGATGTGCGACTGCACAAAGGCACTTATTTTGAACTGTCAGTCATGCAAAACTGTTCTTTCTGGATCCAAGAATGAAAAAAGTGAGCAGAAAAAGTTCCATTTAAGCTAAAATCAGCTCCCTTAGATGTGATTGTAACATATTTCTCTCTCTCTTTCAGATCACTGAGGTCACCGTATGATGCACAAGACTCCTTCACCTCCTAATACAATAGTTAATTTTAAATGTTTATATTATGTTCATATTTAATGTTCTTGGGTTACTGAACTTTCTACGTGGCACTGTTGGAACATTCAGTTGTAGACAAGTGCGAAATTGCATTGCCTACCTCCTGTATACTGTTATTTTGATGCAAATAAATTTTTAATGATTAGATTACTTTTTGTTTCTGATGTTTTTGCTTTTTTTTAATTAAAATAATGCAAAACCACATCTTACTTTCAGTTTTACTTTACACTGTGTTTCACGTGATATTCATAGCAAACAACACCAGTTAGCAAGCTGATATGACAGAGGCAGGGAGGTCCAGAGTAACACTATCAGTTATTTGCACATGTTTCTAAGAGGGTGTGTGCGTACTTTTCCATATGCATTGCCTGAACACACAGTTTAAAACTGACAAAATTTGTCACACTTGTGTCTGACAGCAGCTCCCTGTAATAATTTTCAAGGACTAATGTTGTATTAAAGTCTGTTGTTTTTCCAGAAGATGCTTGCTTCCTTCTTTGTGGTCATTCTGGGTAAGCAACACAAAGGGAACCACAGTAAACATAATATTTCGCAATGTTAAAATCTTCTAATCTCTTTAATTTCTTTCTCTTTTTTCATCCCTGCAGGGTTGTGCTGCTGCTTCGAGGAAAGCAGTAAGTGAGCGTTACTGTTTGTATGTGTGTAGTGTGTGTATTTTAATTGTGTTGTTGTTGATTCTTTTTGTGATATTTTCATTGTCTTTCTTTCTATTCTTTATAGGTCAGTTTTTTCTGGGGCATCCACAACTGTATGGCCCCAATGAGGCTTTGGTGAAAACATATGTAGAGTTTCAATGTGAAGTGCCGAACCACCCGATAAATCACGAAATCCTGCTGCAGATATTTAAGTGGGTACATTCAATTTAACCACTGTGGTGAGACACATTACATTAAATGATGAAATTTTTCTAATTACTACCCTTTTTACAGGGAGGATGACCCCAACAGGGCATTGGGTGAATACACTTCACTGGAAGGGGAGCCCGCAAACATTCCCATGGTTATCAAAAAGCGTTATGACGGCTATCTGAAGTGTGTGGCTAGCGTACAAAACCGCTCTATCTCTCATATTAATTCCACATCCAGCAACCTACACTATTTAAAGGTTATCGGTGAGTCCCTTTATTTATATGCATATAAACAGTTGCTGACTATCACTCTGTGTTGTCTTTATTCTCTTTTAATTATTTTTTTAATAAAACTGTTTCATTGTGTTTCACCCTGTACTGCTATGGATATAAAAAAACATAACTGCTTTTGTTTTTGAAGTTGGGGGCTGAAGTTTGGGGAAAAAGTAGTCAGTATCAATAAGCATTACTGTTGTTCAGAAAGTGCACCAGGATCTCAGCCTGTTCTTGTGTCTGTCCTGCAGAGCCGGTGAAAGGTGCACAGATCATCAATTCTGGTCCAGATGACTTCTTTGAGGGAGAAACACTTCAGCTAATCTGTCAACTTAGCGCTGGAAATTATATATCCTACAAATGGCTGCACAATGATCAGCTTGTATTGCCGTCTTCCCTCCGTCGTATTTATGACAACCAGCTCACGATCTACAGGTTAGTGACAATCAAATGAAGCAATCCAGCAGGTGCATGTTACTAATAATCAACAGTCCACTTACATTTGAGCTTCTGACAGCATAGGATTATCTAAAAAACCACGTGCTGCAAATCAAATGCACTTGATTACCTGATCATCACCAAGTGCGACCAAGTTTAAGTTTAGTGAAACACAAACACAGCCAACAGCTCATACTCACTGTCAAGCACGATGGAGAGCTGATGATTTGGGCTGGTTTTGCAACAACAGATGTTTTCAGTCATTGAGTTGTTCATCTCTAAGTATTGCACAGTCAAATGTGAGGCCATCTGTCCAACAGCTAAAGCTTTGCCCAAACTGGGTCATGTAATGATTCCAAGCATACATACAAATCTACAACAGAATGACTGAAAAAGAAAAGAATCAAGGTGCTGCAAATGCACAAAGTCCACACCTCTGATTTAAATGCTGTGGCAGGACCTTAAAAGGGCTGTGCGTAAATGAATACTACTAAAACTCAATGAAATCAAGTAGTATTTTAAAGAAGAATGGGCTAAAATGTCTGATGTTTTACGGTGGCCCTGAGAGGCCTGCAACTTGCTACAAAAGCACACAAAACACAACGGAAATAGGAAAAACAACAACGGAAACTGGAAAAAAGAAAATAGAAATAGGAAAAAACTGATTTCCAAAAGCACAAGGGAAGTGTTTCTGGGGAGACAATAACCCGACGGACCTGTTGCAGGAACCCAAAACATGGTAGGTGTGTTTTATCATGATTCATATAATACTGATGATGGATTTTTAGGCTAATAGTTAGGCTAACACACTTACCTCTCATTTTTTCTTTCCTCACAAAACCGATAGATCCTCCACTTCTTTTAAGTGTCTCTCAGCGCAATTCTTAGCCTATTTTGGTTCCTGCAACTGGTCCGTCGGCTTATTGTCTCCCCAGAAACACTTCCCTTGTGCTTTTGGAAATCTGTTTTTTCCTATTTATGTTTTCTTTTTTCCTATTTCCGTTGTGTTTTGTGTGCTTTTGCAGCGTTTTTCTTGTTGCTGGTGTTTTCTTAAGTTGCAGTCCGTTTGGCCTCTCAGGGCCACCGTAGATGTTGCTGTTTGTCAGTATATACAAGAGAAAACATTGCATAACCATTAAGAATAATCATTTAAGACTGATTAAGAAATCATCAGCTAATTTACAAAACAGTCATTCAGACCAAATGTTTTGACAGATACAATGTTTTTAATTTACCAGGTAGGCCCACCCTAAAGCATACCTGATATTCTTCTTTTGACTCTAACAGGAACTAACAGGGACCTGAAACTAGTGTGATTAGACCATAAACTTATCAGAAAATGATTTAAGAGTCAATCTCTCATAGACTCTAGAACTCCTCTAGACTTCTTTTACGTAACTGGAGGAGTCGCTCCCTGCTGGCTATATATTGACACCTATTTTTCCTGTACAGTCTATGGAAACAATAAATTCAAATATTACAGGAATAGTTTTCTTTGTCACCCTCAGAACAAATCCTCAAGACAGTGGCTCCTACAAGTGTGTGGCTACCAACGTCTTCAACAAAACAGTCTTCACCTCCAACAGCTCTGAAATTGAAATCACAGTCAAAGGTTAGCACTCATTTTGTGGGGAAAAATCCTCCTGGTCATGTTTTTGTAAATTCATCATGGTTTGTTTTTTTGACAGCAGATCAACAAAATAACATCACTCTTCTTACTCTTCTTTCAGAGTTTGTGTCAACCCCTGACATCTCCTTCACTGTGTTAAAGGAAGAGCCACAAAATTATTTTGCGATGGTTGTCTGTAACTCAACACGAGGAGATCTGCCTATCACCTACTCGCTGTACCGTGGGAAAGAGCAGGTCATCAACGTGACAGTGGAAGAGAGACATTACGTATTTAAGCTTCCTTTGGTCTTGGACCGCCACTTAGGCTTTCTCAGATGCCATGCGAGCAACGGAGAACAGACCACATACAGTCAGTGGTTGCCCTTGCATGTTGGTATGTTTTTAAAACTGTTAACAAATTACTGAGATAAGCATGTGTTTTTACAGTTAACATCTATTTGTCTTGACATCCCTTTCTGGCATCCAACAGTCCCTGTTAGTGGACCTGTGACAATGCATTATGACTACGACACTGGAGAAAACTACGCTGTAATTGGCCTGAGGTTCTACTGCAAAGCGGAGAAGGGATCACATCCACACTATCAGTGGTTCCACAACAAAACCCTCCTACGGGATCGAGGAACCTACTACTATGTGGTGGACCAGATGCCACAACGATCGATACTCCTGCTATCTGTGGGGAGGGAAAGCGCCGGGACGTACTACTGTGAAGTATCAGACAGCTTTGACAACAGCACCGCCATAAGCAGCAAGAGGCGATATTTGGATAAAGAAGGTACAGTTGATTTGAGTCAAACATAGAGATACCAGGTGACAGCTTGAATCATCTCTTCATCTTCCTCCCCCTCTAGTGCTGAACCGCATTCCTGACTTTGTAGTGGGAGTTGTATTTGGAAGTTTTGCCTTTTTGATTTTCCTGATGTCTGCTTGTTGCTGGATTGGAGTGATTTTCAGTGAGTACAGATGCTTTTTCTTTCATCTCGTTTTGCAGCCTTTGCATTTGCTGCTGAGAAATAACATTATTCACTTTCGTTTCAGGGAAGAGGCAGTATGGAGAAAAGTCTCTGTGAGTTATTTCTTTGTTTAATTCTGAAAATGCTGAAAAGTATAGTAACTATAATGTCAATGCTTCCTATGTGAAGGGAACTGTGCTATTTCCTCCAGAGTCAGGTTTTTCTTTGTTTTTATTGGGGTGTTATCCACCATAGGCCACTGAAAGAAACAATGGTGGACTATAAGTAACAAAGTAAAGTGGCCCCCGCTTCCTGTTTTCCTTTTGCAGCACAGCAGCTTTTCAAAGAACAGCAACAATGAATGTAATGTTCAAGCCCAGATCCTTATTTGTTTGTGGTTAAATATTAAAGCTATCAAGGGAAAAACTCTACTGTATGTTAGATGCTACACCCTTCTTGTCTACAGCTAAGACTCACCATCACAGGGCTACCAGAGAGCTATGAGTATATTTGCGATCCTGTCTTTAATGACATGTTAGATTTGGGGAGCTAAGATTGAACATGGGGTACTGTGTTTTGGAAATTTGGAAAAATTGGGTTTTTTATGATAATGGAACTGAAACAAGTGATCAATGTGTCTTATAAAAACGTCACATGAAATGCTACTTACTTATTTTTGACTTCACTAAAATGGGTCAGCTTTCAACAACCTTAAGATATGAATAATGAATGAAATAAAATGAATAACATGGAAGTCTGTGGGGATTGAATCACATTCGGGTATTAAAGTAACTGTAGTTGTTTTGAATTTGGCTACTTTTTTCACACCCCTTTCTCTCATTCCCTTGTACGGGACTGTAAAAATGTCTGTGCTTGCACACTTAATCATTCTTAAGACAGCTGCAGCCTACATGTGCATTTTGTCTCTTTGCAGGTGGAGCTTGGAGATGCAGAGAAGCAAAGCTGTATATGAGGACGAGCTGGTAAGTGGCGATTTCTTTAGTGCATTCAATGACATACTGATTGTATTGTACCACTTTACTCCCAGCACAGTAAGCACCACTCAATAATGTCTTCTTATAGGACTTTTCAGTCCACAGTGACGATTCTGATCTGCTGAAAGCAGCGAGAGAGGATGAATTCGATCAGGTGAGGCCAGATAAGTTTCTTTCGTCACCCAGTTAGAGATAAACAAGCCGTTGAAGTATTTTGTTTGTTTTCTCCCCCCAGGCATCTGAATCCTCTGAAGATGAATGGCCCCAGATTCAGAAGAAGACTTTGAAGGATGAATCAGTTTAAAGAACTACGTGGATGTTTGCTCTCTAAACGTGAACTGTTGTAGTGAAATAAACATTTGGTTAGTGCTGCAGCATCCTTACAGCATGAGCACTTTTACCAGTTATCTGTAAAACATTGTGAAGGAGAAGTTAAGTCAGAGGTGCCAAGCTTAATACTGATGAGGATGAGGGAAACAGAATTAAGAAAGAAAGAACTCTCTTTAACCAGTGGAATCATTTTTGACCCCAGTTGTATATTTATATGTGTCTGTGTGATAATTTTTGATTGCAAAATTATTTTCTAACATGAGTTTGTCAGTTTACTTGTTCCACGGCTTTTCTTTGTGCTTTACAGGAATTGGGCGATTTGAATGCACGGATTAAGGAAAGTTATGTGGGGTAATTAATGTGTTTGTTTATTTGTATCATCATTTTCACTCGTAACCTCTACATTGTAATGTTTTGCAGTGAAAACTGGCTAACAGACCAGGATATAGCAAGCTCCGAGTGTTGCAGAAAATATTAAATATTACATATTTAAAAACAACAAATTTGTTTAGACTGTGTCCGAAATAGAAGAAAGGACGAAAACACAGCTGGGCTATGATGATTTTATTGTAATTATTTGTTGGTCAAACTATTACAAAGTTATCAGTTCATCTATATTTTGGAGTGAAAAATGATGATAGCATATAATTTAGCATAGCAATTTTATTTTATTTTTTGGGGGAGGTGGAATGGTAAAACGTTTAATACAAGAATTCTCTAAATAAATCGTCTTTCGTTTGTACGTTCGTGTTTGTCTTAACTCGTTTCTGGATAAAGACTTTTGAAACACATAATTGACTACATTATAAAATTTATGAATTTTAGTCATACATGAAGGAAAGTGTACATGAATGAGCTTATGTCCATTATAGTCAGTAAAACCACTTGGTTACTTGACAAATGCACACTTTCTGTTCTGCACAATGTTGCCGCCATTTGTGAAAGGTTGTATCTACCACTGGAAAAAAATACTTTTTTTTGCCACCTACACCTCGTCTATGAGTAAAAATCTGGGGTTATTACCTACTTTTTTAAAAATTCAAATATCTAAAATGTATTTTTCTAAATTAGATAATAACTTAAATTTTGTGTCATTGCTGTGAAATTTTCAGATAATAACACAAGATTTTGACCTATAGTTGGCTTTCTTTTGTGTCTGAAATAAGCTTCTTTATTCTTAGCCTCACCACACCTGGAATAAAAAATGCACTACATTAAAATAAAACAAAACATACATTTAACATTGAATACATATTTGATACAATGGGGTGGCTGTAGCTGAGGAGCTAGAGCTGGTCACCTATCAATCTGAAGGTTGGTTGTCTGCTCCAGTCTGCTCTGCTGCATCTATCGGAGTGTGAATGCTAGATGAAAAGCACAGAAAAAAGTGCTTGTGTGAATCGGTGAATGAGGCAAATTGTATAACAGCGCTTTGAGTGCTCAGTTATATATAAGAACCAGTGCATTAACTGCAGTTTTCAAACTCTGCAGAACCATTCGGTAGGTGTAATTGGTCCAGTTCTAGAAATTCTGGTAAGTAATGGCTCTCAGAAAATGTAGATTTCTGCAGGGAAACTCTGTAGAGCTTTAACAGGTAAACAGGGTCATTCCTGAATTATGCTTCAGTGGAAAATCTACATGACCCCAACACCATTACCACCATGGCGGTATTTGCCAAAAAATGATTGAGGGAATTTAAGCTGTTATAAATGGCTTTTTGACCTAAAATCTGTCAAAAATAGGTGAGTCATATCACTAAAACTATCGATCACATCAAGTAATTTAGAGCCAGAAAGAGCATTCCTATCAAAAAGCAACTGCTGCAACCAGACTTTTATTTATTCTTTATATATCTGGGTAAAAAGTGTCATTGACATTAAAAATGTGTTTTTCAAGAGAGATCTAGCCAAGGGGGCAGCAGAAACTGTAACAAATATAACATCACAGTTCTAAAAACTTACTGGAAGTAACCAAAAATGACTGGACTGATGACAATATTGGCACAAATTTGCAGAGTTAAAAAATACTTCAAAACAAGTTATTTCTTTATTTTATGTATAACCCCTTCATAAATCATGTTTACTATGGTCTATCTACTAATATAAGTAACCAACCAATTTCTGAGCCACACATGTTTGAAGGCATTTTTGACGCTCAAAATGTGGTTTTAGTGTCAGAGATAGGTTCTAGTTAGGTTTAGGCTAAAGGTTAGGCATTCATTTTTGATGGTTAGGTTTAGGGAACGCATTATGTCAATTAGATTTACTCACTTAGATATAAAAGGCAAGTATGTGTGTGTGTGACACTTCATGTACTCCACACAGAACTACATGAAGTGAAAGTGTTCAAACATTGAACGATAGAGACACACAACAGTGCAGCAGAAAAGTGCAACAATGGGTTGTGCAAAAAGACTGAGCATTGTGCAAAAAGTACTTGAAGTAATGGGATGTATGAATGTGTGTGTGTGTGTGTGTGTGTTTGTTTGTTTGTTTGTTTTTCAGAGGCAAACTTATTTGTCCCGCTGGCGTTTCCATATCTCATCAGTTCTGATAGTTTGTCTGCGTTTTTGAGTCCTTATGTTGACGCTGTTATTATTATCATTCTTATAGTTGTTATGATCGTATTATCGCGATGGTTGTTGTTCTCTCGCTGAAGACTCCAGTGAAAAAATAGCCGAAAACGCGCAGTAAGCGTCGGTAATCCTGAGCGGACCAATCACAGTAGCTAATAGTATACTTCGCCACCAAGTTTTGTTACGACGTATTTTCCGCTGAAGAGTAACTTGGCCACAGTTTTTTGTGTAGCTCCGCCCCTTCTGCGCACAGCCGCTAGCTCAGGTGTCTCCGAGCTGGTCCCACTTGAGTGCAGGAGGCGGCGGTAGCTGGTAGTTTTAGTCGACTGTGACCGAAGCGTTGCTTTCCCCTTAGGTCTACTCGCACCGGAGGATCGGCTGAATGGCAGACATGGAGGAGACGGGCGGTGTAAGTGCGTACGGAGCTGCGCTCGCAGGAGGAGGTTTCGACTTTTACAAGTTTATCCGCCAGCCTCAGACCATCGTGCGCTTTCTCAGCTGGGTGAGTGCTGTTTGTGTTTGAAACTGAAGGTCCAGCGGGGTATGTGAGCAAGTCCGCGCACAGAGGTGAAGAGATGAGATGAGATATGTTGTTAATACGGGACAGCGGTCGGCTTTGTGCGCTTCCTCCGGCGGGCGTCGTATTTACAGCAAGACTCTCCGTGACAGCGCCGCAGGTCACCCCCGCTGCTGCTGACTGAAAACTGCACTTCCGGGAAAACACTACCTGCCAGATATCGGCATTAATAATTATCTCCTTATAATCCACGAGATTACATTCTCATAATTTCACTTCACACAGCGGATGGAAGTCGATGTTTTTAAAAGTCTTTATTATTCGAGGCTGAAGCGACAGAGTAGGTGGTGTTTGCATTAAAAAGGGGAAATCGTGCTGAGAGAAAGTTCTCGGAACTTTTACAGCCCTAATCACCTGTTGCTGGGTAAATCTTAAGGCACGCAGAATTTGTTATGCGCAAAGTCCTAAATGAATCTCAATGAGACCGTTGATATAGTGAAAAACATACTGTTGTGCAACCCTGAGTGACTGAGCAGACACCGAAGGACCTTTTTTTTGTCCTTGAACACTTCCTAGTTGAAATCGAGCTACTACGTCTCCACAGAATGTACTAAGCTTGACTGTCGTGTGCTTTGTAAATGAAGATTTATATTCTCCCGTGAAGGACAGGCCCGGGCAAAGACGAGCGCACACATTAACCTGCAGAGTGAACAGTTTTTAGTGTGGCAGATGAGGACAGACTGTGCCCTTGGCTGTAGCTGTTGTCTGTGTGCATGTGTGTGTCAGTGGTAAACAGGGGCTAACAGGCAGGTAAGGTGACACCCCCTACTCTGTTATGTTTGGTAAATGTGTGCTACTGATCTCCCCCTCTGACTCGCACACATATGCAGTGCAGCTGTGCTCATCTCAGATTCTTCCAGGCTGGATCACTGTGTATCTCTGGTGATTTTAATCTTAGAAAATGACACCTGCATGTATGATTGCACATAAGAGTCGCACACCTGGTCCTGGGACCAGTGTTATCATAGTTTTTATTTAACTTTTTTTTTCATTTTCCATTAACGCTGGCATGGATTGCAGGATTGTGTGTAACGAATGAATTGTGTACCAGTGAATGGAATATGTTGCCCGGCTGTTGTAACTAGGCAAATATTTTTTTTTAATACAAAAACTTTTGCAATATCATTCAACACAGTTTAACCTTTATTGGAATACCGCATTACCACATAGTGTGCTCCAAAACATGGGAAAAGGAGAAGTGCGAAACGCCTCCAGTTCCTCAAAACTTTCCAACAACATGATTGTGGAATTTATCTTCCTATTTTATACCAGTTTTCTTAGTAAATATGACTCACCTTACATTCAGTCATCTTACTGCTTTTCGTAGCTTCTCCAGGGCAAACTTCCTGCATGCCTTCCTGAGTTTGCACTTATAATTCCATATGATTGAGAGACCTTTCTAAGTATGAACAGCAACTGTTGTTTAAATAACAGTTTTGACCAATCTGACCACAAACTAAAGACATTTCCTGTATAAAGGGTATGTCCAGTTGTTTCTTTTCCACAGAGTCTTTATATTTTTGTTATTTTGATCACTTGTATTGTTACATATTTTTGCACACCTGTTTGTTTTTGGGGTTTTTGTTTGTTTGCTTTTTGGGTGGAAGGGCTATAACAGCCTTACCTGAAACAAAAAAGGGCATACACTCGCTCCTGGCCATTAAAAGCGGCTACA